GTAACTTGGATTTGTAGGCCACAATTTTGTTTGGGGTGCAACCGAAAATATATTTCTGGTTTCTACCCAACTTTTTCATATCTTTTATGGCTAACATGGTGTGAACCAAAAATATATTTCCTATTTTAAGGGGAATTAAGGTAATTTCACATGGTGCGCTAGAAAACCATAGAGTGGAAAAAGAAATCCTCAAAATTTATCAATTGAATTTTGGGCCGCCTTTGGTTTATTTCCATGCACCAAATTTAAAAGAGTGTTAGACTTGAGAGGGTGTATTAGAAAAATCTAAAAACTTACATTGATTGCAGATAGGGATTTGAAAGAATTTATATAGGACAATTTCTTATTCCATCCTATGATTTTGTAGCGCACCACGCGAAATTTTGTAAATGCCCCTTAAAACCAAAAACATATTTCCGGTGCGCACCATGCTAGGAATAAATTTTATGAAAAAGTTGAACGCAAATCAGAAATATATTTTCGGTTGCACCCCAAACACAATTATGGTATAGGAATCCAAGCTACAAGCAATATATAAACCGAAAATGCAATATCTGGTTCACTTTGGAAATATATTTCTCGTTTCTATACAACATTTAACAGAAAAAGATGCGCACCAGAAATATATTTTCGGTTTCCAGGGGTATTTTAGGAAATGCATATGATTTTTCTTTAGACTGTAGGGTGGAAAGATAAATTCTCTTACATAGAGTGACATCTCTAACTTTACAAAACTAGTAACAAATTTGTGCATACGCACAGATTTTGGTCTGGTACGCGCATTTATTTACATGATATATTTATCTTAAATAGAAGGTTAAAAAAAGCTGGAAAAAAATACTTATATCAATAATAGATTTTTTCGTATATAAAAATATGTAGATCAATAATAATTTTTTTCCCGTATACCCCTTTTAGATCATAAATATTTGGATCATAAATACCATTTTTCGCGTATAAAAATATTTAGATCAATAATAGATTATTTCCCTTATGCAAATATTATTTTGTTTAGGTATCATTTACAAAAATATTTGGATAAATAGTAAATTTTAATATATAAAAATATTTAGATTTGATCGTACCTGATCAGAAGGAATCATCACTGGCCCACAAACTTGAGTTGAACGGCAATTGTTGAGTAAAGGGGGGTGTACTTGTAAGATACTTTGATGCCAAAGTAAGAACGATAGAAATCAGAGTGCATGTACAATAGTAAGTGAGTGAATGAATACCTGGCCCTTTCAAGTGAGAGGGTATTTATATCCTTAGCGTTGGGCCAAGGTCCCCATGTTAGGTTGACTAAGGAGGTCCAAAATGGAGACTGTCAGGTCCTACGTGTGTAGTAGAGACCCACACGTGGTCTCCATCCGAAGTGGATTGCTCTAAACTATCAAGAGGAAGTGGATGTGGACTTTTCGGGATATAGAGGACCCTATGATATTCGAAGGCAATGGATGTCTGCCCTACAAGTAGGGTACTCGCGAGGACCTCCTGAGTGTCATTGATCCTTCTCGACAGGTATGATATAAGTTATATCCTCAGGATAAATCCTCGACGAGAGGAACATGACCACTGTCCGACATGGTCAATGGAAGACTCACTCCTGCTGGTCTTCTCCTACAGCACAGTTGGATTGGGCCTTGTTTGATGTTTGGGTCAAGTGCAGGTCCAGTCCAGAACATGAGCCTCCTAAGTCGTTGCTCCTAAGGGGAGAAGCTATGACTTAAGACCAACTTGTTGATCCGACGAGGACAGCTACGTTAGGGTCCCCTATTTGTTCGAGGGACGAGGTCGTCCTTATACGGTAGCCGTTTGGATAGAAGTTGGAGCGTGCTTGCATGGATAATTAACATGTTTCTTGACTCACAGGGAGACGAAAGTTTGCAAGAAAATCACTTCGTTGGCCATGTGAGTAGCTCTGAGTGGATCGTGAAACTCATCCGCTCCTTGCAGAACTCATGAAATTGCTCGGGGAATTCATTCTCTCCTTGCAATGTTCATGGGATTGCTCGAGAGATTCATCTCATTCTTCGCAATACTCATTTGATTGCAAGGGAAGTTCATCTTATATTCGCGAGACCCATGATATTGCTCAGGGGATTCATGCTCTCATCACGGCATTCATGAGATTGTTCCCTTCTCGCTGAACGAGGGTCTGTCAATGCAGTTTGGTCGTAGAAACCCCCTTTCACTTGTTTTGAAGTGGAATGGTGGATTTGATTTATCTGTCAAATCACTGGTTTCCTATGCTTTACAAGTGAAATGGACAAACCAGTTAAGGTGGCCTCCATAGACGAGCACGTTGAAATAGAGGAGGCAAGTGGCACCGATGAGGGTCTCCACTTGGTATCCACTATCACCAATGAATCATTATCTTGGATTAGGCCAGAACCTAGTGGAATAGCCTTGGTCTTCAGCAATACTCAGAGAGAGGCGTACACTGTCGAGTCTTCTTTTCTTCGTCGCCCCTGTTCTTCTTACATTCAGGGGATCATCGTTCCTCGTGCAGGGGAGTGTGATCGAGCTTCTTGAGAGCTTCGGGTAGGATCCTCTCCAATACAGGGCCTCGCCCAGTGCGACGAGGAGAAGGGCTTCGAGAATCATTTCATTTGTGTCTTCGTGGGAGAGATTAAGAGCGGTACTCGTGTCATCCAGGAAGAGGAGTTTACGAATCAGGTCTTTGGTGCTTTTTGGGGGATTGACGGGTCTGTTCCAGCATCATGACGCGTTCACCCTGCATGAAGATCATGTAGTTTGTTTTGTTGATCGCCGCGAACAAGGCCTTGGTCGTAGGATCAACATTCTCAGGAACGGGGATCTCCTGATACATAGCGGGCTCGTATTTTTACCGGAGAGGGTCAGCATTGTCACGCATTTGCGACTGGGTGGATGAGGACGCGGTCATCCCATCCCTGATGTCGAGCTCGTGACCACCAACATCGTTGTTATTGTCAGGGTCGGTGAAATTAACATTTTGGTCACCGTTGTTGACTTGGTCGGTCATGACAGTTGGAAAGTTGGGAGAGTTGCTTTGGTCTTAGGTAAATGAAAGACGGGAAAGCTGGTTTCCCATAGACAGCACAATTAATCGTACCTGATCAGAAGGAATCTTCACTAGCCCACGAACTTGAGTTGAACGACAGTTGTTGAGTGAATAAGGGTGTACTTACAAGATACTTTGATGTCAAAGTAAGAACGAGAGAAATCATAGTGTAAGTACAATAATAAGTGAGTGAATTAATACTCGGCTCTCTCGAGTGAGAGAGTATTTATAGCTCCGAGTGATGGGCCAAGGTCCCCATGTTAGGATGACTAAGCAGACCCAAAATTGAAATTGCCAGGTCCTACGTGTGTAGTAGAGACCCGCACGTGGTCTCCATCCTGAGTGGATTACTCTGAACTATCAGGAGGACATGGATGCAGACTTTTCAAATTTAAGAGAACCTCTTGATATTCGAAGGCGTTGGATGCCGACCCTACAAGAAGGGTGCTCGTAAAGACCTCTTGAGTGTCGTTGATCCTCCCCGGCAGGTATGATATAAGTTATGTCTTCAGGATATATCCTCGACAAGAGGAACGGGATCACTACCCGACATGGTCAAGGGTAGACTCACTCATGTTGGTCTTCTCTTCCAGCACAGTTGGATTAGGCCTTGTATGATGTTTGGGCCAAGTGCAGGCCTAGTCTAGAACAAGATCAATAATAGATTTTTTTTCGTATACCATTTTTGAATAAAAAGTATTTGGATCATAAATACCATTTTTCATATATAAAATTTTTTAGATCAATAATAGATTTTTTTCGTATACATATAGTATTTTTGTTTAGATATCGTTTACAAAAATATCTGGATCAATAGTAAATTTTTGTATATAAAAATGTTTAGATCAATAATATATTTTTCCCGTATACTATTTTTGAATAAAAAATATTTCGATCATAAATACTATTTTTTCGTATATAAAAATATTTAGATCAATAATAGATTTTATTTTGTATACAAATATTATTTTTGTTTATGTATCGTTTATAAAAATATCTGGATCAATAGTAAATTTTCGTATATAAAAATATTTAAATCAATAATAGTTTTTTTCCCGTATACTGTTTTTAAATCATAAATATCATTTTCGTATATAAAAATATTTAAATCAATAATAGATTTTATTATATATACAAGTATTATTTTTGTTTAGGTATTGTTTACAAAAATATCTGGATCAATAGTAAATTTACGTATATACAAATAATTAGATCAATAATTTATTTTTTCCCGTATACCATTTTTGAATAAAAAATATTTAGATTATAAATATCATTTTTCATTTATAAAAATATTTAGATTAATATTAAATATATAATACAGAAAAAAAATGCAACAATTAAATGAATCTACTTTTAATATAATAAAAGTAATTACCACCATAATTACGTCATTAACCAACTAAAATCAGTTTTAACATAGATTTTCAAGGACAAATAAGTAAATATAATCCCTAATTATTCTTTTAATTTAAATTTTATTTTTATTGCATCATAATCATTTGTTTAACTACACCCCACTTCTCCACGTTCTCTCCTTCCAAATTCCAATAGATCTATTTAATACCCAACATTGGGAACCCTCATATTCTCACAATAGAAACAACAAACTTGCGTTGAAAACACACTATCAATCTTGGGACTTCCTATTCATTTCATTTCATCCTTCATTTGCCAATTTATTTATTTCCAACTTCAAAATCGAATCAAATCATATAGCTTCAGAATCATTTTTCTATAATTTCTCCTCTTCCTCTTTGAAAACACATAGAAGATCACCATTTATTTTTCTTTCACAATAACAAAATCAAATCAAAAGCAACGTGGATCCATAAATTTCTCAACAATATAAAAAACCAGAATCAATCGATGTGGTTACTGGGTGGTCGGAGGAGTTGATCGACGGTGGAAGTCAGTCGAGTCTGAGTGTGCGCGAAATAGATGGAGCCTCGTGATGCTCCAACGAGAGAAGTGGTTTAATCTTCTTCCACCAGATTCATTATCAATTCGCTCTTCATTTTCCACTCGTGGTGCTTACAGAATCGTTTGGTATTGCTTCAAATCTTCTTCTTTTTTTGGATTTGGATAAGTTTTTTTGTTTCTTTTTCTGAATCGGTTTTTGTGATTGATAAATCTGAAGTGTTATTTTGATTTGATTTTTGAAGTTTGATGTTAAATACGAAGACGAGTGAATTGGTTGTTGTTAAGAATATATCGAATGCTTTTGATAATGGCGTGGATGTGAAACGTACTCTATGTGATATTAAGCTTCTTAAGCATTTAGATCATGAAAATGTGAGTTATCTTTCTCTTACCAGAATTTAATTAGATAATATTATATTTTAATTTGTAATAGATTTTTGTTCAGTATAAAATTTTCAACTTTCCTAATCTATTTCAATGTATAGTCAATTAGGGTAAAGTTATTTGAGATTTTATTATTTCGTATAGCTATTTGTGTGAGTGAGTTTCTGATATCCTCACTTTTACGCAAGCAAGTTAATTGAGTCATTTAATCAAACAGTTAGCAAATGTTTTTATTTTATAATTTTTTATATTAGATCTAGATTTATTCATCTAAGAATATTCACATGAAATTTATGAATTGATTGTTACTAATTTATTTATTTAGATTTTGGTGTAAATGTCATAGCTATTTAATGGAAAGAGTTCAATTGTTGTGATTTTTATAGAAAGAAGAAGTGGAAATGGTTCAACATGAAGATTGAAGAGTCTTAACAAATACTTATGAAGATCTAAACATTTTGTTGTCAAGTTGTTCCTTCTTCTTAGAATAATTTAATTTTTAAGTGGTTTCTAAATATATTTTTAATTTATATGACTTTAGACAGCGCTTTTAAAAAGCGCTGCTAAAAGTGTTGCTTTAGAAAGCGCTTTATCAAAAGCACTGGTAAAGGACCACTTTAGACAGCACTTTTCAAATGTGTTGTCTAAAGTCATATAAATTTAAAAAAATGTCAAAAGCGCTGCTAAAGGAGCACATTAGCCAGCGCTGCTAAAGGCCCATATTAGCCAGCGTTTTCTCAAAAGCATTGTCTAAAGTCATATAATTAGAAATTAAAAATTAGAATCAGTATTGTTTCTGTTTTCACATAACTATTTCCATCCTCACGTGAAACCCTTTTCAACGTCTCTCTCCCCACCGTTGTCCGTCCTCCACCGTCTCTCTCTGCAAAACGAGGCTCTCTCTCCACCGCTGACCGCCGTCCTCCACTGTCACTTTCAAGGTACTCTTCTCTCTTTCTCTTCTCTCTTTATCTCTGCGAAACGGTTGGGTACAAATAGAAATAGAGAGATTGTGGCAAAAACTCTTTATGACTATTTGAATCAATAATCTTTTATTATATTATTTTGCTATAAAAAGAGATTGTGGATTGTTTGGGTACAAATAGAAATAGAGAGTTCAGATTTTCGTTCATAAAAATTGTATATACTACTTGAGATGCCATGGATAATGAAAAAGTTTTTGTCTTAGATGATTTTAAATTGCGGTTATACTGTGAATTTTAAATTGGGAAATAGAGTTAGACTGCACACTTCAACTTCACATACATATAGTCTATGTATTTCTGTTGTTGTCCTAGTTTACCTCGACTAAGCTATTTTTATTTGTTATTTATTCAAAATTGATAAAAACTCTATACAAATTTTTACAAGTATGGAACACTAATGTTTTTCTGCTATGTGTAGTTAGTCGAAGACCATCACCGATTCGAAAAACATCATAGCAACATCATCCACTGTCGGCCACCAATAACCTCTCTTCTTTCTTTGGTAAGTCAAGTTCAAATTTAACATTACTGATTCTTGTTGTTTGTAGGATTTCAAGTGTGCTTGTGCGTGTTAGTCTTTAGTTGTTACTCTTTAGTGTTATCGTTTATTGTTATAATATTTCTGCGTAACCGAAATAACGCATGTTCTGTTCAGTGTTTCCATTCTGTTCCAATATTTTGAGCGACACTTAGTAGTAAAACAATGGATAAAAAATGGATGTTTGCCGATCGATTGTCAAAAGAGTACGAGAATGGGGTATTGGAATTCGTTAAGTTTGCTGTTGAACACACCAAAGACCCCAGTCGAATGAAGTGTCCTTGCTTGGGTTGTTTTATATGGGTCGGGTTGACGCAAATGGATTGAAATCGCACTTACTGATGCATGGAATTGATAGAAGTTATATGTGTTGGATATTTCACGGTGAAAAAAGTAACGACAATGTTGAACCGGGGGAGAAAAGTAGTACGGCCTATGCTTTAGACGACAAGGACACAGATACATACGATTTTGATCGAGTCGAAGAGATTGCAGAAGCACTTGAAGAAGATCTTCAGGATTGTCCCAAAATGTTTGAGAGATTGGTAAGCGATGCAGAGAAACTGTTGTATAAAGGTTTCACTAAATTCTCAAGATTGTCTGCGGTATTAAAGTTGTAGAATTTAAAGGCGGGCAATGGATGGTCAGATAAAAGTTTCACAGAGTTATTAGCCCTTATGAGAGATATGCTTCTGGATGATCATGTTCTTCCTAATCGAACCTATGAGGCCAACAAAATGTTGTTCTCTATTGGCATGAGCTATGATAAGATACATGCTTATCCAAACGATTTCATTTTGTTTTGAAACGAATATGCATCGTTAGATGAGTGTCCTAAATGCAGTTTGTCTCGATAAAAGAAAAAATTGTCTCCAGCAAAAGTCTTATGGTATTTTCCTATAATTTCGAGATTTAGGCGCATGTTTCATAGTGAAATCGATGCAAGACACCTGAATTGGCATGCAGATGAAAGAATTATTTATGGAAAGTATCGACATCTGGAAGATTCACCATAGTGGTCGAAAATTGATAATGATTATCCTGATTTTGGAGAAGAAGTAAGAAACCTTCGCTTGGCTTTATCTACTGATGGAATGAACCCACATGGTCTTCAAAGTATCTCACATACCACATGGCCTGTGATTCTTATGATTTATAACCTACCTCCATGGCTATTTATGAAGTGTAAGTACATAATTTTATCTATGTTAATTTCTGGGCCTAAACAACCAGGGAATGACATAGACGTATACTTGACACCTTTGATTGAAGATTTAAAGATTTTGTGGGAGAATGGGGTGGAGGTTTATGATGGATTTAGGAAACAAATTTTAAATTTTAGGGCGATGTTGTTTGGCACAATTAATGATTTTCCAGCATACGGGAATCTATCTGGGTATAGCATTAAAGGTCAACGTGTGTGTCCTGTTTGTGAAGATGGAACCGATACGACGCATTTGGAACTTTATCAGAAGAATGTGTTTCTCGGTCATCGTAGATTCTTACATTCTAAACATCACTACCGTGCATGGAGAAAAGAATTCAATGGAGACACTGAACAACGTAAAGCTCCACCTGCATTGTCAGGTGACCAAATTTTTGAAAAGGTGAAAGATGTGTGTACTCAGTTTGGCAAGCCTTTTGTGCATACGGTTGTCAAAGATGAGTGGAAGAAGAGATCGATTTTTTTTGAATTTCCATATTGGAAGTCTCTGTATGTGAGACATTTTATCGATGTTATGCATATTGAAAGAAAAAAAGTATTTGAAAGTGTTATTGGTACGTTACTCAATATTAAAGGAAAGTCTAAGGATGGCCTTAAAGCAAGGGAGGACATGTTAAAGATGGGAATACGAACTGAACTAGGACCCGTGAAGAAAGGAAGCCGAATATATTTACCACCTATTGCTTTTACTCTGTCTAGAAAGGAGAAAAAATATTGTGTAAGTTTCTAAGTGAAGTTAAAGTTCCAGAAGGATACTCTTCAGATATTAGAAGACTTGTGTCTATGAAAGACCTCAAGTTAAAGAGTTTAAAGACACATGATTGCCATGTTATAATGGAAAATTTTCTACCAATAGGTATACGTTCTATTTTTCCAGAAAAAGTAAGGAGCACGTTAACTAAGTTGTGTTTTTTCTTTAGGTCAATTTGTAGTAAGGTGATCGATCCTGGGATCTTACCAACATTGCAAAAATAAATTGTTATTACTTTGTGTGAGCTTGAAATGTATTTTCCTCCCTCATTTTTTGACATAATGGTACATCTAGTTGTTCATCTTGTGAAAGAGACACAGTTGTGCGGACCAGCTTATATGAGATGGATGTACCCTGCTGAACGTTATATGAAAATATTAAAAAGGTACGTGAAAAACCAAAGTTGCACAGAGGGTTGTATTGTTGAGCAATACATTGTTGAAGAAGCGGTTGAGTTTTGTAATGAATATTTGTCCAAAGTTCAATCCATTGGACTCCTCAAAAGTCATATTTTTGAAAAAAAGTAAGGTAAAAGATTAATTAGAAATAAAATTGTGACAGTATCAAGGGATGAATGGGATCAAGTGCATCTGTATGTTCTGCACAATGACAGTGAGGTTGAGCCATATGTTGAAATGCATAAGGATGTACTCTGAGGGTTAAATCAGAATAGAAATGAAAATTGGATAGTACGGGAGCACAATCAAAGTTTTATACCATGGTTTAAGGATCATATTTTTTCAAAGCTTCATTCAGATCCTGCTTCAATAATAGAAAGGTTGAGATGTTTGGCATATAGTCCAAGTTTGCATGTGTTTTCTTATAGCGCATACGCAATTAATGGATACACATTTTATACCAAAGAACAAGATGATAAAAGTACTATGCAAAATAATGGTGTCACCGTGCTTGCTGAAGCAATGCACATTTCAAGTATGAAGGACCTAAACCCCAAATATGCAAATTTGTCATATTTTAGGGTTATCGAGCATATTTGGGTGTTTGATTACAAGAAGTTTTACATTCCTATCTTTGGTTCCAAGTGGGTAAGTAGTAGTGGCATACGAATGGATAAGTCAGGATTTTTGCAAGTGGATCTTAATAGGGAGGGGTACAAAGATAAGCCTTTTATTCTAGCCTCTCAAGCTAAACAAGTGTTATATGTCACTGACCCGGCGAGTACAAAATGGTCTATAGTGCTTTTATCTAACAAAGTGGTTGATGATAACGGTGTAGACCAAGGTGATTTTGATGATGAGAATGATTCATGTATTAGATGGAATGAGTCGTATATTATAAATGATCAAGATGAGAATATTATAGAGGATGAATCATATATCAGAAATGATCATAATGAGGGAATTTAGATAAATCCATCCGTCCGCATTGTTAAGAAACAAGTAATTCATGTTCTAACCAAGAAAAGAAAGAGATGTTAGTGAAAGAGGTAAATATTAAAATGTTTATGTTTATGTTTGTGTTTACGTTTAAGTTTATGTTTATGTTAATGTTTGTGTTTGTCATTTTATATATATTCAAATGATTATGGAATTTTATATTGGGTTTATGTATATGTTTATTACAGGTTAGATGGCTACTAACGAGGATCACCCACATGATGATTCTAGGCATGATGGAGATGAGCCCGTTAATAAAACGGAAATGGAAATTAGATGAGGAATAACAATTATGAAGAGAATCATTCGAGATAAAGATCAATACATAAAGTATGATGTGCATTGGATTCAAGAAGGCCAACTAATTGAGCCTAACTGTTCAACGTTGACGAGTTATCTTGGTTAGGTGGTAAGGAGAGAAATTCCAATTACATGTGAAGATTGGAGAGCAAAAGTGTTAAAGGACGTTAAAGATAAAATATGGAGTGAGATACATGTACCATATCTGATGTTATTTTTTTTAAT